CATGCCCCCTGACCCCCCGTACCCCCTGACCCACCGTGCCCTCTCGCTGGCCGCGCAGCGCTGGACGTTGGAGAGCTGCCCCAGGCAGAAGCGGGCTCCCCCCGAGGGGTCCACGTAGCCATCGACCACCACGCTGGGGCAGCTGGAGGGCACCTTGAAGATCTCCCCCACCTGCACGTCCTGCTCGAAGTAGGCGATGGAGCACCAGAATTCCGGCCCTGGAAGCGGGGGGGGGGGAACGGGGATTTTAGGGGCACCCTAAAACTACAGCACCTTTGGGTGCCAAGGAGGGTGGGGGGCACTCACCAGGGTGGGTGGACACGGGGGGCTGCAGCACGGGGTTATGGTGGGGGGGCCCTAGGAGGGGAGGAGAGGGGGGGTCAGCGCTATGAAGACCCCTCTATCCCTCAGCCAGTGCCCCCCAAACCTACAGCAGTGGTTGGGGTGGTGCTGGGGGGGCTGCGGGTGGCTCCGGCTGCCGGGATGTGACCCCCCCAAACCCGGGGTGTAGATGGGGGCACTGCTCCAGCTCAGCGGCGACCCTGGAGCGGGAGACAGGGGGACATGAGGAGGGTCCCCAGGGGGGTCGGGGGGGGCAGTGGGGTGTCCCCATACTCACTGTGGTGGGGGGGTTTGGGGTACCCGTTCTGCGGGGGAGGCTGTGCTGGGGGGGCCTCGCTGTGGGGCAGGGGGAGCAGGGGGTCCTGCGGGGTCGCTGTGGGGGAATATGGGAACGGGGGGTCATTGTGGCTGGGGGGTTCAGGGCGATGCCCCCAAACCCCCGCAGGGTGGGGGTTGAGGGGGGGGTCTCACCTTGGGGCGCCGTGGGGAGCGCAGGGTAGATCCGGGGCACACGGGGGGGCTCAGGGGGCGGCCGGGGGGGCAGCGCTCGGTAGGGCAGGGCGGGGGGCTCGGCCCCCGGTTCCGGCGGCTCCATCTGCACACAGTCATGGACAAACTCCTCCTTCACCGGGCGCGGGGGGGGCACTGGGGAGGGCGGGGGACACACACCGGAGACCATGGGGGGCACGGGGACCCGCTGCGGGGGGCTGGGCTGGCTCCGGGGGGGGCTCCCCGCCGCCCGCGGGCCGGGGTCTCACCTGTGCTCTGGACGCTCAGACCTGCGGGAGAGGTGGGTGGGGGGGGAGGTTAGGGGGTGCCGGTGACCCCCCCTTGGCCAACCCTCTCTCCCGGGGGTCCCGGGGGTCCCTGCTCACCGCTGGCGGGGGTCCCCACGCGCTCGTAGTGGTAGGGGTTGACACAGACGCTGTCGCACTTGAGGTCGAAGGCGAATTGGCAGAATTTGACGGGTTTCAGCTCGTTTTTGTGCAGGTCGGGCCAGCGCCAGAGCCGGGCGTAGATGACGTGTGGGAACCCCTTCCTGCCGGCCACCTGAGCGAAACGGGAACTGGGGGGGGTCCCCAACCCAGCCCGGGGGTCCAGACATAACAACGCCCCCTCCCCGATCCCCCCGAGGGCCGCCAGACCCTGCCTGAGCCGGGAGGGGCGGGATGCGGGCAGGGCAGGGGGATCCGGGCAGGACAGGGGGATCCATCCGCTCGCGGCTTCCGGGGCTCCCCAGGACCCCCGAATTCGGGGAGGGTTTACAGGGGTACACAAACCCCCAGCCCCCCGTGTCCAGGGGTACCTGGAGCCGCCCGTCCAGGGTGCGCTGGACGGTGACACACTGGCCGGGCTGGGCCCCGCCGGAGGTGACAGCGGCCACCAGCGCGTCCAGCTCGTCCCTTTTCTCCTTCAGCTTCCTCAGCAGGCTCTGGATGGCGCGGCGGGCGAAGGCCTCGCTGTCCCCTCCCTGCCGGTGGCACAGCAGGCTGTGCACGATGCCGGGGCCGCTGTCACTGCCCAGGGACATGGCGCTGCGGCCCTGCAAGGCACGGAGGGTCCCTGCGTGTCCCCTCGGGGACACCGAGCCGCGTGGCTGCTGGCACCGGGGACGCGCGGCACGGGGAAGAAGGTGGCACTGCCATCGGTCACCCCGGGCCTGGGTTCCGTGTTCCCTGGCTGGCTCAGCCCGAGCCCCAGAGCTTGTCGCCAGCCTGGGGAAGCCGGGGAGGGGGTGAGGTGACAGCACACGGTGTTTAGAGGGACGCTCGGGCTGTCCCCGAGCCCGGCAGGGAGCGGGGCCGTGTCCGTGCCCGGTGCCGCGGGGACGGACCCGCCGCCGCCGCCAGACTAAACAGAGCCCAGCCTGGCGCCGCTCCTTAACCCCTCTCTCTCCCCGGCTTCTCCCTTTCCTGCCTCCCTGCCAGACCCTGCTCACGCCAGAGCCGGGATGCAGCGTTCCAGAGCCTTGGAAAATCCTTGGGATGGCGGCAGACACAACAAACCGCGGCTCCTTATCTGGGCTGGGGAGCGAGCCTGGCTGTCCTGCCAGCCCCCCCGCGTGTCCCCCTGTGCCGGGCTCCTCCAAGATGCCATCACGGAATGGGGACACTTCCAGGGGTGCTGGAGGGACCCCACGGAGCCTCAGCCCCCCGCCAGGCTCTGGGGTTCATCCCGGGGCTGTCATCCCGGGGATCCTGGTGCTGTCTCAATGCCAGCACTCCCTGCCCATCCTCTGCCTCGTGTTTTGGGGTAAAAGCGGTGGAAGAGGGGACCTGGGGTCCCCCCGGCTGCAGTGGATGGGTGCCAAGGGAACACTGGAGGGGTCAGAGGCAGCTCTGTCCCTTTGTGAAACTCATTCCAGCCTGGTTTGGTGGAGCTGGGCTGAGCGGGGACCAGAGCCGGCTCGTCCCTGGCTCCATCCTCGCCCCGCACGGAGAATCCCCGGCTCATCCACGTCCCGAGTCCCGGCGCTCGCCCGGGATGTTCCCGGGACACCGCGGGGCACGGGGAGGTGACAGGGGTGGCGCTGGGGCTTTGAGGGGTGACAGGATTCAAAGGAAGGGACACCAGCGGGACCCGTGATGGGTCAGGCTCCACTCACCTCCGCCCCCGGCTGCCGTCACTCGCGGCCCGGCTCCCGCCGCATCTCCTCCGGCCCACGGCTGTGCCTGCAGCCCCCCGGCCTGATGTCCCCCCCAGGCTCAGCCCTCTCCTCCTTCTCCCAGCCCTGTCCCCGATCCCGATCCCTTTCCCGATCCCGTTCCCAACTCCGGCCCTACAATAACAAAAGGAGCGGCCGGAGCGCGTGAGGCGCCGCCGCGCCGCAGCCAATGGCAGCGCCCGTAACAGCCGGGGCCTCGCCCCGCCAGCCAATCGGGGCCGCGCTCTCATGGCCCGAGCCCCAGACGGGCCCCGCCCCCGGCGCCACCGGGTCCCGGGGATCCACCGGGAATATCCCGGGTCCCGGAGATCCACCGGGAATACCCAGTGTCCCGGGGATCCCACCGGGAATATCCCGGGTCCCGGAGATCCCACCGGGAATATCCCGGGTCCCGGGTATCCACCGGGAACATCCAGGGTCCCGGAGATCCCGCCGGGAATATCCCGGGGATCCACCGGGAATATCCCGGGTCCCGGGGATCCACCGGGAATATCCCGGGTCCCGGAGATCCCGCCGGGAATATCCCGGGTCCCGGGGATCCACCGGGAATATCCCGGGTCCCGGAGATCCCACCGGGAACATCCAGGGTCCCGGAGATCCCGCCGGGAATATCCCGGGTCCCGGAGATCCCCCGGTGGGTTCCCGGTGGGTTCCCGGTGCTGCCCCATCCCCTCCTCTTCCCTGCGGAGTAAATTCAGAAAAATCCCATTTCCAGAGGAAAAAACCCCACAGAGCTCTGGGAATTCTCCCTCCTTGAAGCCACCAGAAGATTCCAAAGGGAACAAGAACATGTGGAAGGGGTGGGTGATAAAGCCCAGACCCTCCAGTCACACTGGCTTCCACTTTTCTTTGGAAAAGGGATGGATTTTGGAGTCTCTTCTGGAAAAGAGGCATTTCCACATCGCTGTCCTGGCTGAGTTTTCTGTCCCTCTCATTTCTTTAAACAAACACTTGAACCACACAGAAACATGGCCCCAAAAGGACTCTCAACTCCAAGCCCCCCAAATCCACTAGAACAAGGAAGTTTCCCACCTGCTCCAACCCCACAGGAATTTTTGGTGCAGAACAGGAGGATCTGAGCTGTCTGGAAGGAGAACAGCCAAACTGGATTTGGCTTCGGGCGAGTTCAACTCCAGCTGGGAACCTGCCCATCCCAAAACGAACAAAGGCTGACCCCAAAAATCCAACTGCCAATCCCAAAACCCAACGAGCCCATCCCAAAACTCCAGAGGCACACAGACCCCCCCGGTCAAAAAAAAAAAAAAAAAAAAAAAAACCCCC